GGGGGGGGGTTAAAACAACAACAAAAACCCAGACAAAACGGAGTAGAATAACAAGTGGTGCCCCTCCCTCCCAACCACCTACGACGTCATGGACACCAGTAATAAAGACAGGAAATAGAAGAAGCAGACCGAACTACCAACACCCACTAACCACGAGTCGCACACAGAGGAAACGAACATGGTAAAAGGCGAGGCAAAAACGGAACGAGGCAACCAGCGGAACAAACCATCCGTGTCAACAACTACGTGTACAACTCCCCTCAAGAGGTAACTCAGGAAACTGGTTAAACAAGTTTCTGCTCTTCGCTCTCCTTTCGCCACGTAGAGTTGCGGCAAATAATAGGCTCCACCCGATAAGTTAAAAAATTATTTGCGTTTCTTGAAGCGCGAATAATGTACGCGCAGATTCAAATACGCCTGTTACTTTCCTGATCGCCATGATCTAACCGTATTTATAAAATAATTCCTTACGTCAGCAGATTTTTTTTCAGAAAGATTTGTATACATTCAAGTACTCGTAATATTACATAACTATACGCTTTACATACACCTCTCATTCTAAAATGTAAGATCTCTTCGATTGCAATGCGAACTGGTCATTTTTTACCAAATGGAAATGCGCAGCATAATAAATGCTAACTGTTATGTGTTTAAAAAAGGAAGGTAAACAATATGAGTTGAAAAATTTTCCACATGTTAAAAGTGTAGTCCAAAAAATTTCATTGAAGTCATAAAAACTACAGCACCAGTAATTTAAATCATCTGCCACATGTGTGAACGGTGAGTGTACGTGAGCACTAGGCCTAGCCTGCTTCTTCTGCGGTGTTTCTATTGGCCTTATTTTTGTTTAGAGTCAAGAGAAGCATATCGACACAGCAATGGCAATTTAGTGCTGGGGAAAAGTAAGATGGATAGACAGAAAGTAAAGAAGTAGGACCTACCAGTAGCATCCCCCCCCCTCCCAACCACCCGCTACTGACCTTATGGAGGAGACTGGGATGTAACTGTAATTAAAATGTCCACCGGCGCAATCCACAAGTTCAAATTCCCTAGCTATATAAAATATATTAAAATAATTAAGAGCCAGCTTTATCTGTGTTCTACTGTTCATCTGCAGAAAGGCTACAAATTTCAAAGGGCCGTGATCAAATTGAGTTTACAGTGCCGTCACAAAATCATTCAAGAAAGCATTCTGGAAAAAATACAACTCTGAATTCTTGTTTGTTTGTTTGTTTAGTATAGGGTTTTACGGCGCTCGCAACTGCATAAGGTCATATGAGCGCGCGGGACACACCTAATACTTTTTCGTTGGTAGG